CTATAAGATGTCTAACACTATGGGCTCCGGACAAAGTGCGTGCCTCCAGGTCGTCCTGACAACACGACTAAGTTACGAAAATAAGGTCAAATAACTTCTATACAAAGTTATATTTACTATGGCAATTGACCATATTAATTATTTTACGTTTACAAGTAGGTTTTCGAGATTACGGGCTGATCATATATATGAGAAGTATTCACCCAAGTACGTTTAAGGTGATAAAGGGCCTGGACGCCACTAGTGGCAGTGCGGCGTAGTTGTTAACGTGTAGCGATTATACGCTGCACTTTCTTGGTTAAAGTCTCGTTAGGAGTGATCAAGGCGAGGTCGAGACTACTGTTCATACTGGATGAGGATATGTTTTGGGAAAGCAAGGCTGAGCGAACTCAATGGAAGTATAAGGCCTGTTCATATTATTGTGGGAAAGTTCAACTACCTGATCATCTTAAACGAAATTGGTTAAATAGATCTTATAGATTATTTTGGCAGAACTCTAATTTTGGAGAATAAACTATCTGTCGTCAATCATGCTTAGTCAAAATTTTGCCTCTATTCCTATTCAATATTAACTATTTATTAACTAATACTTTGGGTTTTCGTATGTTTGACTACAAAGTAAAAAATATGTTCAAAATTCGAACATTTATTCGAGTGGTACTTCCTCAGAACTTTCTCGGATCGCTCATTACTCATATATAATTAATATTTTTCGAGTGACTAATATAAGAAGACTCACTAGCAGTTTAATTCGATCGCTGCTGAATCTAGTATGCCTCGAAAACACTCAGTATCCTCGAACTGGCTTGATCAGCTTACTTCCATTTCGAATGAAAGTGTTGGGTGTAGAGATTTGAAGGTCGGTTCCACCAGAATACGACGGCGGATTCCTCTTGACCAGATGTCGATTGGCTTTGCTGGAAGATTCATGCTGACGCTGTTTACGAGGTAATCTCCTTCGATTCCGGTGAAAAGCTGCTAAGCTTTTGTCCGTCATATGACGAACATCATCATCGTCACAACAAAATTCACGCTAACGAGTCAAGAAAACTCACCGGCAAATCCCTAAAAAGTTGTATATATTCTATACATCTGGTCTCTTTGATCAAGTATAAAGTGATTTGGTTAGTTAAGGTCATATGTCAACTTCGATGCCTGTGAGTGTGTCTGCCTCTGTATGTACATGTGCCTGTTTGTGTTCGCTTATGCACGAAACCCACAGTGATGGCTCTAAGTAATTAGAACAGCAAAAAGGAACGTCTCCTTTTGGTCATCAAGGTTTGATGACCCCTATCTCTTCCTTTCTACATACATGTTTTAACCATCATTCCGATTGCGCAAGTCAAGAAAACTCGTTAGCTTAAATTTTGTTGTGACGATGATACCTTGTTCTGATGATGTTCGTCATATGACTGACGAAAGCTTAGCACCTTTTCACCGGAATCGAAGTAGATTACTTTGGGAACAGCGTCAACATGAATCTTCCAATAAAGCCAATCGACAGCTGTTCAAGATGAATCCATCGTCGTCTTCTGGTGGAAGCGACCTTCGAATCTATCCACCCAACACTTTTACTCGAAATTGAAATAAGCTCAACATGCTCAACAATAATTTAATGTAAATCTTACATATATCACCATCCATAAATCTTAATATCTTAATTTGATCAACATGAACTATGCACGTATGCCAGATTTAATGTTTTATGAATTTTATATAGGTCTGAGAGGGAAAGTTAGATAATCCTTTTCCTGACTTTTCAGGGTTTCAGGGTCTGATAGTTGAATTGATCAAAATGATTTCGACAATAGACATCATCATATCGTACATTCTCAAGGCCCATTTTCACACATATTTTACTGCATTTTGGCTCATATCTAGTTTACACTAATACCTCCTGCAAGCTGGGAACGCAAATAGCATGAACTGTTGACGGGTATGCTTTTCGGACAGTGATGTATTTAAACTCCTATACGAATGTATGCATTCCAAATTGAGTTTTATTCTCTAATTTAAGAAACAAAGCCATATTAGCAAAAAGTTAAAGTGCATGGTGAAGAAATTCGAACATCGATCCTATCAGAAAACGGCGCTAGATTCCGCCTGACCATTCGTCGATTGTCTTTAATGGAAGATTTTTGCTGACTCTGCTTCCGAGAGAATCACCTCCAAATATGGTGAAAACGTGCTAAGATATGAAGATAAGCTGGGTTTTGACGAATCCCTCAGTGGATTTATATTGGCATACCTTTCATTTTGTTTGAGAAGGAGAGTGGAAGGGATTCGTAGATTGGCCTCACCGGATATCGAAGGAGGATTGCCTTCGACTTATATCTGTTGAGTTGTGAGAAGAAGACCTCAGCAAACCGTTAATGAATAGAGTAGATAATGTGACTAAATTTGCCATGGAGTTAAAAAATGACTATTCTACTCTTTTTAGATGTCCTAGTTATTAAGGAAGGCAACAAAGGTAGTACAGGTGTATATGGCAAACCCACAAATGCGGGTTCCCTTCGTTATTTCTTTTCAAATCATACATATGGTGTTAAAATAAGAGTAATGAAATCAATGATAACAAGGAGTTTACGTCTAGTGGACGTAAATCATCAAAACACTCTGAGAAAAATCTTAGTTGAGAACAATTATTCGTTAGAATTAATTGTTAATAATTTCAACATATTAAGAAATAGAGTGAAAGGAAACCATTATTTTAGACAAAACAAGGAATTAGAGGACTTTTAGGCCAGGTTCCTAATGCTACCATCCTGCAAACTTTCAAATAAGATAGGCAAATTACAGGGGAAATGAAGCGTCAAGAAAATGTATGAACAAACAGTGACGCTTTCCTCTATCAAGCCTTTTCTATAGAATCTTCAGGCGCCCTCTGCAGATCTGGTTGTTATAAAGTTTTTTGCTTGTGTGGTAGTGTTTATGTCGGAGAGACTTGTCCAAACATACACTAGAGGCTATCAGAACACAGAACCGCCTGCAAATGTTTATGGATTCAAAAATCGGAGGTGGCTGAACTCGTGGTCACTACAGGACACCAGATAGAGGGGTCTAAGTCCCCAACGCTTTGCCGGATATGGGGTTTTCACAGCTAAACGGAAGATCAGGGAGTCGATTCAAATTAACAAAAGAAAGAACATCCTGAATAAGACAAACGAATGTATGATCTATCTCTGGCTACTAAATATTATTAGAGATAAATAGATAGATAGATTGAGAGAGAAAGAACGAAGGAAATGTGACAGGAAAAGCCACTGATTAAGAGGTGAAGATTTGAATAAACTGGAGTCTGTTGTGTGCCAACAACTCGTGGTTGTTGCATACTACATGTACGAACACGCATCCACGAAGCTGTAACAAGACCCAGGACAACTGGATCATACTCTAGCTTCTTTACATTGACAAAGTTGTAACTACATCCGCTCCACCTCCTGCATCACTTTGAACCGCTTACATGCATTTAGGACAAGCATACTTGAGCCAACCAAATCATGGAATGCCTTATTAAGATCGCAAAGTGAGGTATAAGAAGTAACTAGCATCTCAGCTAGCCAGCTTTCTTAGTTTGCGTTTTTTATTGTTCGTGAATAGCGGTTTCTAGCTCTGATGATATCCATCACATTAAGGACGAAAGCTCAGAACGGATTCATAGGGGTCGTAGGACAGTGAACCGAAGTCTTCAAAAAATTCAACAAACAAAAGCCCATGGTAACCCTCCTTCGGCATCCGGTGAAGCCAATCTACGAATCCCTTTCACCTGCCTTCTCAAACGAAATGAAAGTTATGCCAATATCAAAACGTGCTAAGCTTCCGATTTAGTCTGACCTCATTTTCACAACTTGGTTGTGTTGTCAGGACAACATAGCTGGACGCTCCCTGTCCAAAGTCTTCTGCTATACTATGTATCATATTTCAAGCGCTGGACCGGTGACTTGGTACATTCCCAGTCGTTTCGATGGCATCGCCAATGAGTCTTGCCAGTTTCAGCACCAAGCTAAAATACGTCAAGGAAACAAGTAAAGTAAATTCCTTGACCAACTTTCTGTAGAAACGGTTGTGCTATCGCTCCACTTTTTGTCCTGGCCCTTCTATCAACTTCCATTCCCTCTTGTCTCACTCTCGTCCTATCACAACTTGTGACTTATTTATATTCCACTCCTCAAGAGGTGTACTCTTTTGGCGATTCTACTCTGGCCTCCTATCCGGATTTGTCTCATGGGCCCGTAGATCCGTTTCTTATCTTTCTGGTTGGTCGATGTCACTCGGTTCCAGCCCTAGTGCAACGTTTACTCCAGGCGCTATTTCTCAAGCCTCCAGTAGCATGTACACTTTCGCCCTACCTGAATAGGGCCTATGCGCTAATTCCCATGCTCGAGGATATCAGTCATTCTCTTCATTCGTTATCTCCTTGATTAAACCCGTGTGCCCTGAGCAAACAGGATGCATAGTATCTCTCGCGTGGATTTTTCTTTAAGTTGGCTTATGAAAGAAAGATAGGGATGGAAAAGGACTCCCCAAAGTGGATATGCTTACCGTCATGCGAACCAACTCAAAACCACAACCATATTCTAAGAAAATGGAATATTCAGGTGACCACAAAGGAAAAAGCAACACCCTTCGTAAGTCTACCCATCCATCATAAAAGGTGGACAAATTGGATTGCTCTGACATTTACTGCATGACATGCAATGCCCGCAAACAGAAATATATTCGCAAAGCAGAGAGAAAAATCAGCATATGGACTAAAAAACATAAAAGGCAATGCACGAAAGATTAGAAATTTCGGAGCCCATCGCACAGACTGAACACGAGAACAAATATAAGGCAACTCTTAAGGAGTGGAGTATAAATAAGTCAGAAGTTGCGATAGGGCGAGAGTGAGACAAGAGGACAAAAAGAGGCGTGCTATAACAACCGTTTCGGCGGAAAGTTGGT